TCCAAGGGCGGGGGGCAGGCAGCACAGGAGGAACTGAAACTTCCGGCCTGCAGTGAGGGCCAATGAGGGCCGAGGAAGCCCCCCCTCCCTGCTCAGGTGGGCGGCTCCATGCTCCCCCTCCCCCGCCCTGGGTGTCACACACTCATCTCTGCGGCATCTCCAGCAGTGCTCCCACCCCTGAGCCATGGTGAGCCCCCAGCCCCCTCTGCATTATCAGCTCATCCCTCAGTTCTCCCACTCCTGACCCCTCACTGCCCTCTCCCAGGCACCACCCCACCTTGGGGGTCTGATGGGGGTGAAGCCCACCTTGGTCTTGCCCTCAGAGCTCCGCAGACCCAAGCACTTCTCAAGAACTAAGAACAGGCGCCAGCACTGTGGCAATGCCAGCATCCCGTGTGGACCCTGGTTCGAGTCCCAGCTGCTCCACTTCCAATCCAGCTCCCTGCTAGTGCACCTGGGAAGGCAGTGCAAGTACTTGGGTCCTGGCTGTCATGGCCATGAGACTGCTCCATCCACTGGTTCCCTCCTGGGTACAGTAGTCCAGGGCCAATGTCAAGAGCTCAAGTCAATCCAGGCCTCTCACGGGGGTAGCAGAACTTTCATCAGGCCATCGTCGCCTCTCAGGGTCTCCATTAGCCGCAGACAAGTCAGGAGCAGAGCCCCATCCTGGACCCAGGCATCGACAAGGGACCCAGGCTTGCCTGACTTAGCGGCCAAGCTAAGGGCCCAGCCCAGGCACTGTGTTAGGTCCCTGAGCAGCCCACCTCCCTGGCTGCACCAAGGGTTTCTCTGGAGGCAGGTCCCTGCCCTGAGAACACTCACTAGCTCGAAGCCCTGACGTGGGCTTACCTGGCAGATCTATTCCAGCCAAAGAAAGGTCGGGACTGCCCCGGGCTCCGAGGGCCTCGGGGACTGTGAATTCTGCACAAAGCTGAGGGCGTGCCCATCAGCAGGGCAGCCAGGGCAGAGAGAAAGGCTCGCCTAAGTTCCACACCTTGCTCCACGCCCCAGAGCTCCTGGTGGGTCACTCCGAATACTGATCTCCAAGACCGCCTCGTGGTCCCACTGGGCCACACTGCACCGGACTGGGCAGAGCGGGCTCGGGCTTCACCCGGGGTTCCTGGCACTTCAGGGCCAGCCTGCCCGTAAGGCCATCAGCGGACTTCTAGCTGGGGTGAGGCCAAGCTGGCTGCTTGCTGGCACTCAGCAGTAGGCACAAAGAGCCTGCTGTGCCCACGGCCAAGGGCCAGGAGCCAGCATTCAAGTCACGCTCTGCACCCAGCGGCCCCCGGGGTCTGTGCAGATGAGCTAGGGCTTCCCAAGCCGGAACCTCCTGCTCCCGCAGCAGTTTTCTGTGGCCTCTCATGAAGCTTTCCCAGAGGCGGTCCCACAGGCCCTGGGCCACCACACAACGGACAAGGTCAAAGCTGAGGTCCTCCGTGCCCTGGGCCAGGGGGGTCTGTCCACGCCAGTGAGGTCAGCACTACAGCTGCTGCCATGGGTCTTGGAATCCTGGTGGACGCTTAGCATCTGGAATGGGCCTCTGATCACAGGCCAGAGCTCGTGGGACTGGACAGAGGGAGCAACGAGCCCCTCCGTCACCCCTTCCTCCTGAGAGCAGCAGTGGCCACCTACCCCATGCCAGGGCCACCCTGAGCTGAGTGATACTGGGCATTAGTCACAAGTCTGCTGTGCCATTTTACAGATGGTACAACTGAGGCCTAAGAAGTGTAACAATCCCACCCCATTGCAGGGCAGGGCCGGGGTTCAGTCTGATCTCTGCTGTGTGCAGAGCTTGGACACGCGGTGAGGTTGGTCCAAGCAGAAGTCGCAGCTCCTGCACGGCTGCTGACGGCACACACCCCTCACCTTCTCTGGGTCTCAAGTTCCCCAAACTAGAATGAGGACACCCGGAAGTGTCACAGTTCATCACACCCCAAGCCCTGCCCTTGCCTCTCGGACCCTGGGTCATCCCCGGCTCTGCTCCCACTCCCAATCACCCGCACATCCCATCGGCGCTCCTCCCAAACGCAGCCAGGAGCCCCACCCCCCTCCCCCAGTCCCCTCCCAACACCCCACCGCCAACCGGCTTCCTACAGGCAGCCCCAGGGGAGCCGGTACAACCCGAGTGGACCCCTGGTCTGAACCCCTCCATGGCTCCCAGGTTCCTCTGAAGAGGCCTGGCCCACGGGGCCAGCATGGCGGCACAGCGAGTCCACACAGCTAGCTAGATCCAGCTCCCTGCTAATGCACCTGGGGAGGCAGCACAAGATGGCCCAAGTGCTTGGATTCCTGCCACCCACGTGGGATTCCCGGATGGAGTCCCTGGCTCCTGGCGGTTGCGGCCATCTGGGGAATGACCCCGCCCTCCCGTCGTCCCTTTCAAGTAAATGGCAGGGCCATGAGGCCCTATTTGATCTGTCCCAGCCGTCCCCTCCTGCCTCGGCTCCAGCCCCGGGAGCCTGGAATGCTCTGGGCTCCTTCCACTCGAGCCAGTTCCCTCCAGCTGACCACTGCCTCCTCTTACCCGGGCCCCAGCGCCCAGCCCAGGACTGCCCCTGCCCCACCGCAAGCCCTGAGCTGGCTCTGTGTGGGTCCTCAGTAGGCGCCATCTAAGACTCTGCCTAGGGCAGGCATCCCATAGGGGGAGTCCCGGCTGCTCCTCCTCCCATCCAGCTCTCTGCTGTGGCCTGGGAAAGCAGCAGAAGATGGCCCAGGTCCTTGGGCCCCTGCACCTGCATGGGAGACCCAGAAGAAGCTCCTGGCTTCAGATCGGTGCAGCTCCGGTCCTAACAGCCAACTGGGGAGTGAACCAGCGGATGGAAGACCCCCCCCCCCTTTGCCTTTCAAATAATTAAAAAAAA